GTAAACTGTGAGGCATTTAGCAACAAAGCCAGCTCATAAAGCTATTATCATCAGTATTGGCTTTTCTTTCCTGTGCTGATGAAGATATGTGATAGAATGTGCTGTCAGGTCACAGCCGACTTACGATGACCCCTTGGGCCGGGTGTTAAACCTACAGCCCGTGGGCCAGGACCAGCTCTTCTGGGCTTGCAAAGGTGTAAATAAAATGCAGAATGGATTTTACATTAAGGTCTCTGGGTCCAGATAGACTACTCTGTAGAAACAGTGATCTGATCCAGCAGGGCTCTTCTGATACACTTCTACTTTTTCTTCTTTGTTTAGTAGCTATTTCCCTTCAAATACTTTTGACATGGGTTTGCGTTCCTTGCTGCTGTTTGCTTATTAAATGGGGTGTCTCAGACTGGTAGCCCTTCCCCTCAATGGGATCAGATAGGCCACTGCTGTGGAAGTGACCTCTAAGGGTCTGTGTGTGTGTCAAGTGCCATCAAGTCTCAGCTGACGGCTGCTAGCCCTTCCCCTCAATGGGAACAGATAGGCCACTGCTGTGGAAGTGACCCCTAAGGATCTGTGTGTGTGTCAAGTGCCACCAAGTCTCAGCTGACTTACCGTGGCCCTCTGGGGTTTCCAAAGCAAGAGACATTCAGAGGTGGTGTGCCCTTGCCTGCCTTTGTGTAGCAACCCTGGGCTTCCTTGGTGGTCCCCCATCCAAATACTGACCAGAGCTGACCCTGCTTAGCTTCCAAGATCGGCCTGGCTGCCCCCTAAAGGTGGGGTGGGGAGGAATGATACCCCATAACAAATACACTTCAGCCAAACAAATCTAGAGAGCCCCAAACACAGAAGCAACGGCTGGGGTGGGGGCTTAACCTTTGCGGTCGCTGGGGTTCCAGGAGGAGAAATGCTCCTTCTGGAGCTGCCGGCCACAGAGAGTTCTCCTTCAGTCTCTTGTGTTGTGTCAGGTCACTTACCCCCTCTCATTGCATCATGGGAAGGTGTGTTTCCCTATCCCTGCTCTGTATTACTGGCTGTGGATGGTGAAGGCGGGCCGTTTGATGACTGGTTATCTTACTGGGGAGAGGGTGGAAATGCAACATGGGGATGGTGGTTTTAGCTACAGCCCCTACTGGCTCGTAAGGTGTAGTTTAATCTTTCAAAGACTGTAGATCAGACCAGCCCAAGTTGTGATCCACTGATAGAAATGCAGCTCACCAGCCCTAAATGGGGCCCTCCTGAGTTTCCCGCCAATCAAAGAAGCTGGCTGGTGGGCACATGAGACAGGGCCTTTTCAGTGGCAGCCCCACGATTATGGAACAGCCTCTCCAGGGCGTTGTGCCTGGCCCCTCTTTTGGTCTTCAGGAGGCAGTTGAAGACGGTTTTATGTAGGACCGTGTTTGATTAATTTAGTTTTTACTTATCGGCACTCCTCATTGAGTGACTGGCTTTCGAGCAAGGGAACCTTTACCTTACTCCTCATTGAGATTTTAAATTATGGGTTTGTTGTGTCCGCTGACCACACAGGGCCAGCAATTACCCCAGAGCTTGACTCTGGGAGAACAATAGGGGCTAGGCTCCTAGTCCCTCCACTGGGGGAGCCAATGGGAACCGTGGCGGGAGATTCAAACCCACCAACGGGACCCAGGGGTGTGTCCCAGGGGTGTATATAGTTGGCCAGCCGGCCGTTAGTCCCTCGTCTTGTTGTGTGCCAATAAAGCATGCTATGCACTATGCCAGTCTTTGTCTTTCGTACATGCGGCAAACCCACTACACAATAGGGTTTTTAATTTTTTTTTTTTAAAAAATAATTGTTTTATTTACATTGTAAGTCACCTTGAGTTCTGCGAGGTAGAAAGGTGGCTAATAAATGCATTAAACAAATGAACAAATCATACTTCTTGGCAAACTTCTTAGCTGCCTGCCTGGGGTGAGTTATCAAGCCCCCGATGGCTCTTGTGTCTCTTATCTGGCTGGTGAGTCCAAGGCCCATCATAAAAGCTTCTAAAACGGCAAATGGTTTTGAATGTGGCTTGCTAACCCATCAGCCAAGGTTGGTGTGGGTTAAACGTGTACAGTAAACGGATCCGATACTTACTGGAAATGTAGGAAATGGTTCTGTAATTCACTGGTGAGCTTTCCATGGCAGACCTTCTGGCCTGGGCCCGCAGCAAGGGTGTCCCCAGACTGGGCCAGCCAGAGAGCTTGGCTTGAGACGAATTGCTCTTCTGTTCCTAGTGACTATCAAAGCAGTTCTCCAAGTGCGTATATTTAACTACCGTCTTCAAGAGTCAGTTCTGGTCAAATATTAAAAGGTACATAAAGCACACCTACTGTAGAACAGGGGTGTCCCCCCGCCCAACCTTTTTGAGCCTGAGGGGACCTTTGGAATTCTGACGCAGGTTCGTGGGTGCAAACACAGAGCGGCTGCCGCAGGGGGTGAAGACAGGCACAGAATGCCAGGCTGTGTGGAACTCCTCGAATGGTAAATCTTCAAGATTTCAGCCAGAAGCTCCGTTTAACAGGATGGTTTTTTTTTAAATGAACATATTGTTTAAATAGAAATATATGGGTCTTCCTCTTTCTCCCGGTAAGTCCCCCTGCTGGCCAGCAGACTGGGGGCTGGGGGGGGGGGGAGGACCTGGCAGCAGGGCACCCTGTCTCCACCAGGGGGTCTGGCAACCCTAGTTGGCAGCAAGGCTGAGAAATCTCTCTCTCTCTCTCTGAGATCCTGAAAGCTGAGTGTGATAGATAGGATCGCCAACCTCCAGGAAGCACCTGGATCTCTCCCACTGTTTCAACTGATCTCCAGACGGCAAAGACCAATCCCCCTGCAGAAAAGGGCTGCTTTGGAGGGTGGACTCTATGGCATCGCACTCCGCTGAGATCCCTCCCCTCCCCAAATCCCGCCCTCCCAAGGCTGTGCCCCCCAGATATTTCCGAACCCAGAGCTGTCAACCCTAGATGTCAGCCAGGGCTGATGGCCTTGGGCTAGATCGGGGACATGCAAATGGCAGCCCTGGCCAAGTCTGACCTGTGTGGTGCCGACCCAGGTCCTATTTTTGAAACAGAGAGGTGTTCTTGGGGAGGAGCGGGCAGCTTCCTCTTGAAAGTCAGTCACAGGAAAAGAGTCACAGACAGTAACTGTATTCTTCTTTCTTTACCTGTCCAGTTTATTAGCCCATCTTTTGAGCAATACAAAGGGAACAACTATAAATAATACCACAGATAGCCCACATTGATTTCCTTTCATGCTTGCCTAGAATGATTCATGTAATCGCTTAAAATTATCACCATGCAGTCGCTTCTCTCTGCATATAACTTGCAGACAGCCTAGAGAAAGGGCTCTCTGAAGGCTCGGAGGATGTGGGTGAGTAATGTGAGGTGCAGATAGCTAGCCAAGCAGGCCCATAGCGATGGTGGGACTTTTGGGAGCTCTGCCCCCTTTCTTAAATGCTTTTTTCAATCATTCTAAAACATTTTTAAAGGCGTGCACTTCTTTAAGCAGAGGGGGTGCTGTAGTTGACTAGTTCCTGCACTGAACAAGAGGGTTGGAGTAGGTGACCTCTAGGATACCTTCTAACTCTGTGTCAAGAAACTTGAAGAGAGTTTTCCTGCCTAAGTATTAGCTTTCTTGGCTGTAGAAGTTATCACTCCCACCTGCCGGCTTGTTATCAGAAGTGTTGCTTAGGCTGGCAGAAGTAATTAACTTGCAGCAGCTGAGAACTGTACTCTAAAGTGGTTAACAGCTTGCAAGGTAGAGATCTATCCTGGTAACAGCTTTCTATTGGCTCGATGGCTTTTCTTTCTGCACTGAGAACTTCAGCCCCACCAGAAAAAAAAAATTGCCCCACAAACCACAAAATCCTGGCTACCAGCCTGTAGCCAAGAGTTGGAGAGAAGGGTGAAGGAAGAATAAGTGAATGAGCAAGGACTCAAAGTTGGGAAGGAGTTTCAGGAGGGACAGGCGTTTACTTAGAAAGGGGTCCCAAGTTGGGGCCTGTGGGTGCCGTGGCTTCTGCCAACAACTCTCCTGGTCCCCACCTGTTGCTTTGAGAAGGAGGGTGGGGACAGGTGGGACTTTTGCCCATCAAGGCTTCTGATTGGCTCCTGGGAATTTGCCATGCTTTGCAGATTTGTAAGAATGTTGCTCTGGCAACAGCTGCCAGCACAGCACAAGGATCTCCACTGCGTGACTGAGGCAGTCCTGTTGTGGCTGGCTTGGCCTCCGGCTAGCGTTGCCAGGTTCCAGGTTGGGAAGGGCCTGGAGATCTGGGGGTGGAGCCTGAGGAGGGCGGGGTTTGAGGAGGGGAGGGTCTTCAGTGGAGTCTAATGCCATAGAGTTCACCTTCCAGAGCAGCCATTTGCTCCAGGGGAACTGATCAGTTGTAATCCCAGGAGGTCTCCAGCCACCACATGAAGGCTGGCAACTCTACCTCTTGCTGCAGCCCATTTTTGTGGCAACCGTTTTGTAGCTGTGTCCACCACTATATAATCCCCTATCAGTGCACATTCCAACTGGATTTTTACTGTGTGGACTGGCAAAATCCATCTGGAAAGTGCATTGGAAGTGGATTATTTAGAGTGTGTGTGTGTGGCCGCAGCCAAAGTCAGAATTCCACAGATGCAGCCAGGCTCAGAAAGGTTGCCCCCCCCCCATTTAGAGACCTGAGTTATGTTCCTGCCTCATACAGTTTTGGTTTTGAACTAGGGTTGCCAGGTTCCCCTGGGGGCCACCCGTGGGTTGGGGAACTCATGGAGACTTGGGGGTGGAGCCTGGGGAGGACAGGGGCCTCAGTGGGGCACGATGCCCTAGAGCCCACCTTCCAAAACATCCGCTTTCTCTGGGGGAACGGCTGTCTTCAGTCTGGAGATGAGCTGGAATTCTGCGCGCCTGGGGGGTGGGGGGCAGTCCTCAGGTCCCACCTGGGGGCTTGCATCTGTGTTTTGAACACATCCTTCACATTAAGTTGGCATGTAAAAGATTTCTGGCTTTGGGTTAATTTCAGGAACCTGCAATCACGGTGGAATCCTAAACATCAGCCAGCCTTATGTGATTCAGCTGAACTGGAGAGGATTTGCCTACAAATATGGTGCCTGGGGAAGGGATTACTCTCCCCTTACTCCTGAGAAAGATCTCTTCTGGGTTGCGCCACTGAATCCTGATGGGAGATACTTGGAATATTATAGACTTCACCGTTCCTATGATGATTTGCTGCTCTACAAAAATGCAAAGGAGTCTCGAATTCAGTACGGTGAAGGCAGCGGTACCACTGTCTACAGAAATTACATGTATTTTAATGCGCATGGCTCCAGAGATATGAGCAAGTTGGATTTAAACACAAACACTGTAGTGCTGAGAAAAACACTTCCGGACGCTGCCCATAACAATCGCTTCTCCTACGCGGGTGTATCCTGGCAAGATATGGATTTTGCGGTGGATGAGAACGGTTTGTGGGTGATCTACTCAACGGAAGCCAGCATTGGTAACATTGTGATCAGCAGACTCAATGAGACAACGCTGGAAGTGCTCGATACATGGCAAACAAAGCAGTACAAGCCCTCTGTATCGAATGCTTTCATCGTATGTGGGGTCCTGTACGCCGTAAGGCCGCTCAATACAAGGAAAGAGGAAATATTTTACACTTACGACACCAACACAGGAAAAGAAGGCAGAATAAGCATCACTATCGATAAAGTGATGGAAACAATTCAGAGCATCAACTACAGTCCCGGCGATCAGAAACTGTATGTCTACAATGACGCCTACCTTCTGTTGTATAATCTATTTTTCCAGCCTTTCCCACTGTTGTAATTTTCTATGGAGGTTTTTAAAAAATGCCAGTCTTCAGGGAGGAGCATGGCTGAGAAAGCAGAGAAATTACATTTCTACATTTGGGGGGAATATGATTTATTATTGATTAATGGGTGCACAATCAATCCCTGGAAATAATTTTTAATGGTCCTACCAAGGCTTTTAAAGTCCCATTGATTTGTGGGAATTAAGCCAAACCCTTCTGGTAAAGTCAGCGTATTGCAAATGTGCTTGTATTTGGCCCGGTGAGACAGAGACCAGGGGCTTTATTGCAGGGGTCCGTAACATGGACATTTCCCCTGGCACCCGCCAAATGCTTTTAGAAAGTGGGCGGGGCCAGGTGGGGCTCTTGCCCAGCAAGGCTTTTGATTGGCCATTGGAGAGTTGTTGGGCTGTGCAGATTTTTTTAAATGTTGCTTTGGCTGCAGCTGCCACCATGTGAGTGGCAGCAGCTCTTTTGCAGATGGCTCCACCTCCTGGGGCAGTCATTTTGTGCTTGAGCCCACAAGAATCCCAAAGGTGCCCCCACAGGCTTTAAAAGGTCGGGGACCTCTGCTCGATGGTCTCTGACCAACCCCCTTTGTGATCACTGCTGTTTTTCGATCATAAATGTAAAAATGTTGTATCTGGATCGAGAAAAATAAAAATCGTCTTTGTTCCTGGGCTTTTCCACTTAAGGGTTGATATCGGTTTGTGAAATAAATGAACAGTTAGACATTTTTTGTGTGGGTGTGTGCTTCTCCTTCCATCTCTTGTTTCATTTCCCTCGTCTTTGAAAGTGCCATAGGTCACAGATGGGAAAACAGGATCCTATTCTGCCAACAGCGCCCCCTTGCTGTAGAGCATTCAGCTGTTATAACCTAACAGAGGTGTCGGACTTATTTGTCATAAGGGCTGGATCTGACATAAATGTCTCTTTGTTGGGCCAGGCCATGGGTGCCACGAAATGTCATGCCAGGTACCGGAGATATTTAACCCCTTGCCATGACCCATACCCTTCCTCAGCAGAGCTTGGGGTCAAACCAGCCCTCCTCGCCCCTTATGGTTGCCAACTCTGGGTCAGGCAGTCCTTGAGGATCCATCGGAAGACCCTGGGGAGAGCTCTTTTGCTTGGGGACAAGAGAGACCTCAGCAGGGGGTATAGTACCCTAAAATATAGGCCCTTTCGGTCCACATTTGGACTGGGTTCCCCCCAGCTGCTTATGAGCCTGATAAGAGACCTAGACGGGCTGGTTCCAGCTCTCAGGCTGTATGCTTGACATGCCTCCAGTAAGTGGACAATGTCAGTGGTGTCACTAACAAGTAATGCAGCTTCTAGCAGCCAGACATAGGGTTGCCAGCTCCAGGGTGGGGAATTCCTGGAGATTTTGGGGGGTGGAGCTTGGGGGTGGAGTTTGGGAAGAGGAGGGAACTCAGTGGGGCATAATGCATCCTCCACACTTCCAAGCTGCCATTTCCTCCTGGGGAACTGATTTCTATTGTCTGGAGATCACTTCTAATTCTGGGAAATCTCCTGGCCCCACTTGGAGGCTGGCAACCATACTGGCATGTGGCACTGATACTGTTGCCACCGGTTGGCATTTTATACAAAGCACGGTTGGTGCCACAGCTGTTCACCCCTTTTCCATTTAAGGCAAAAGATTCCACAGAACCGGGTATCTGGTGCAGAAGTTCAACTCTTTGGTGAATTTTTGCTTTCTTCTTCCGGATGAGCACATTGTGAACCACCTTCCTTTGCAAAGATGTTTTTGAAGACTTCCACACACAGAACCTGCAGAAGCTTCCGGTGTTCTGTGAGCAGAGCAGGAGCTGAGCAGGGCTACCTGTCCCTCTTGGACAGCCAGTCAGGACATGGTCTCTGCATGTGCTACAACGGCTCCTCCTTTAGCCTTGCCATCACTCCTGCCAACGCAGTTCTGTTTCCTGCCAAAATTTCAAATGCTGAAATGAAGAGAAAAAAAATTGGGTTCAGAATAAAACACAGAAGTCAAGTTAGCTGGGGAAATGTAAGTGAATTTGCATAAAATGTAATGCTTTGCATAATTCATACGGAATGCAGATTTTTGTATTTCCTTGGCACGGAACGGTCGCTTCTGTGTTACAGAAAATGAATAGTGCTGTTCTATTCCAGTGATCAGATACTTGGTTTTTTTTGTTTTTTTTGCAATAAACTATTTTTAGACAAAGAAAAATTCAAATTGACTTCTCAAGCACCTCTGTTTTTTGACAGCTGGGCTGGGAAATGGCAGGCCGTTAGCTTGTAGAAACGTCATTCCAAGCGGTGAGGGTCACATACCTTTGGACATAGTTGCTTAGAGGACTCCTGGTAAAAGCAGATGGACGTTGACCCATGTGTCAACACGTACATACAGCAATCTGTTAGCGACTTCTGTGGGTATCTTTGATCTGGATTTTTCAAGAGAGTCTTCAGAAGGACTGAACATCGGGGGTGCACATTTGGACAGAAACTAATCAAAATCTGAACAGACCTCATTAAATATAGCAACTCTGAATCAGACAGTCAATAACATCCAGAAATAATGAAGGAAAGCCATTAAGTCTCTGTTCGTTATCTATTGCTTTACACGTGATATTTCTGGTCTATGAAGCACAAGAGAGCGAGGGGAAAGAGAGGAGAGAGCAATTCAGCAGAGAGGTGCTTGAAAGAGACATTATTCAACTAGAAGAACTTGCTTATGTCCCCACTGAATAGGGCCATCTCAAGTGGATATTTGTTTGCACAGCATTTTCTCCTTCTGCTTTCTGGGAAGGACTCCCCGATTCTATAGAAGCAGTGGCTCTTGTTTGTGAGCGATGTTATCCTCTAGGGCTGCTTTAGCATCTGAATTGGGGCCAGGACAAACCTTTGGTTGTACTCGCTGGCCAGCTGGGGAGACCAGTAGGGGACAGAAGAAAATTTTTTAGCCACAGGTATTGAGCTATGAAAATGATGACGGCAGGCATGCGAGCATTCAGAGGAGATAGAGGAGGAGAAAAAAACCCACAGATGGAAAGCTAGCCCAGCTAGGAAAGGAAAAGGCTCAGTTAGAACGTAAATACCACCAACTTGAGAAATTATATGAGGAGGTCCTAACCAACAAAAATAAAGTGGCCAACAAATGTCATTGGTGTCAGACCACCGTTGATGTATTAAATCTAAAAATCCAGGAAATGTAGCCGTGGCGAGAGGAATCTCAAGCTGCCACCTGATGTCTAGCTAGTGCCAAAGCCTCCTGTGATGAAGCTAATGATACATTCTGCAGTGCAGAAGTACAAGAATAAGAGGAAGCCCTGAAAACTCCATGAAGGTTTGGTAGCTGCAGGGTGCGTCGATCCAGCCTTCGCCCATGCAGATTCAATACGAAAAAGGCAAAGACATTGCTTGTTTTAGTCAGCAGACAACTGATACAGAAGATTGACATAGTGTCAAACTCGGACACTCATTTGCCATGTCTTATGGGGGTATGAGGCCTGCAAAGGGAAGGAAATTCCGGGGTGTGTGTGTATGTGTGAGAGTGTGAGAACGGCTCTGTTGCAGTGGCGATGTAACTCTTCTAAAGCAGCCGCCCTTCTCAGGGATGACTTTGGCCAGTGTCTGTGCTTGCCTCGCTGTCAGAGAGGAACCTAACGGTAGATTTACAGATGGGGGTGTAGAGCGCACGAAAGCTAGGTGGGATGATTGTACAGTGTGATTGGAGGGGACTGAAGGGGGGAGCTTATTCGAACTGTCTATAACTTTGGGTTTTGGCGCCAGAACTTCAGTTCTGACACAGCACTGGTCTTAGCTTGGAAGATTTTTATTTCTCAAAAGAAGAAGAAGAAGAAGAAGAAGAAGAAGAGGAAGAGGAAGAAGAAGAAGAAGAAGAGGAAGAAGAGGAGGAGGAGGAGGAGAAGGAGATTGGATTTATACCCCGCCCTTCACTCGGAGTCTCAGAGCAGCTGACAAACTCCTTTCCCTTCCCTTCCCCACAACAGACACCCTGTGAGGGAGGTGGGGCTGAGAGAGCTCTGACACAAACTGCTCTTTTTCAAGGACAGCTCTGACAGAACTATGGTTTGCCCAAGGTCATCCAGCAGCTGCAAGTGGAGGAGTGGGGAATCAAACCTGGTTCTCCCAGATTAGAGTCCGCGCACTTAATCTCTACACCAAACTGGCAAATCACTGCCAGAGAATGTTGTTGAGAGTAACTGACTGTTAGTTTTTTAACTTGTAATATTTGGATCTTATTGCACATTTAACTCTTGGAAGCCACCCTGAGCCCTGCTTGGCAGGGAATGAAGTGGGATATAAGCAAAACGAGGAGGAGACTATATAGTGGTATGGTGAAGGTTTCAGCCCTGAAACGAACTCCCTCCTAACCAGAGGATTACAAGAGAATTGTGGTGCAGGATCCTGTAAGGGAGTACCGGAGATTCTTTAGGAGATCTCTCCTTCTCCCAGGGAACTTCCTACGAACCTGAATGTTCATAAAGGACATAAAGGACTTCTGATCCTCGTTTCTTTTACAAGTAGTGCAACTACCTGAGAAGACCACAATCGTTGGCAAGCCTCACAGGGTTGTTGGTCAAGTCCCTGGGAAATAAAGACGTTAAGGCTTAAAGGGGGAAAGTTTTAAAAAAGAACTGCAGATCAAACATTCACGCTACTCTGCCCCTCACTAAGGGGCTGTTGCCAAGATGGGGCTCTCACACTCACTCTCCCTATTAAACTAAACCAAGCTAAGCTAAACTAAATAAAGGCTGGAGCAGGGCCATAGCCAGCATTGGGGGCGGTGCCCCCTACTGAATCTGCAGTGCCCCGTCTGCCTGCCTGACCCCTGCCTGCCTGCATCTCTGGGGCTGGCCCTCACCTCGGAGCATGGCCTCCAGCTTCTTCCTGTTCACACGGAACCTCTTTGGTGTAGTTTGGTGTCGTGGTTAAGTGCGTGGACTCTAATCTGGGAGAACCGGGTTTGATTCCCCACTCCTCCACTTGCACCTGCTGGATGACCCTGGGCAAGCCCTAGTTCTGGCACAGCTGTTCTTGCAAAAGAGCAGTTTCTGTCAGAGCTCTCTCGGCCCCACCTATTTCACAGGGTGTCTGTTGTGGGGAGGGGAAGGGAAAGGAGTTTGTCAGCCACTCTGAGACTCCTGTGGGTAGTGAAGGGTGGGGTATGAATCCAATCTCTTCTCCTCTTCTTCTTGGGCAGAGCCAGTTTGGTGTAGTGGTTAAATACACAGACTCTAATCTGGGAGAACCGGGTTTGATTCCCCACTCCTCCACTTGCACCTGGATGGATGACCTTGGGCAAGCCATAGTCCTGGTCAGAGCTGTTCTTGAAAAAGAGCAGTTTCTGTCAAGAGCTCTCTGAGCCCCACTGA